ACTTGGTGTTGAATATACATCGGTGTTGTCACCGACACCTAACACCTAACACTAATAAAAACACCAACTTTGAAATCACACAAGAACCTCGTTGAAAGCACCAGTTCTCGTCCGATCAAGTTTGGTAATAATACGGTTTGGTAGCGGATATAATGGTCGTCGACGGTGTGATTGGTACTGGTTTGGTAGTTGTTAGAATTGTAGCATTGGGAACGGACTGGGATCTGGTTCGAGGGGGGGAAGGTCTGGATACACGTCTGGACTTGGATCATCTAACCTGAATCGAATTACCAAAACCAGTTCAGACACTGAAATACATTCCTACTCCGATGCCCAAATGCATCACATACAGTCAATCCTGGAATCATACGACCATGATCCCAAACCTACTACCATTATTCTTCATGTAGGCCTCAACAACCATGATCAGCTACCAAAGACCTCCTTTAACTAAGCCCAGAAATTAATCGCCACAGCCAACAAAACCTTCCCAAACTCCAAGATCCTCTTCACATGTATACCTATTTCAAATAAAATCTCGAAGAAAGCACAACAGAACCCCAGCACTCTCAACAACATGATGATGAAGTCAAGTATCAACAGCGCAACAATCTTACCACCCTAAGAAGAAGAATTCGAACCATTTGATAATCTTCATTGGTCTCCAGAAACAGCAAACAGCATTTATTTGTTTTGGATACACCAGCTTCAAGAATCGAGTAAGTCTTTAAACTAATTACTGGGGATAAAAATACTGAGAGGCCACCGCTGTAGTTAACTGTAGTTAACTTGAGTCGCAAAATTCTCACACCCCTTAAGCATTCAATCTTAGACCGTGGACTTGAATTATCTCCGACCATCCATTGAACGATTTCGACGAAATCTTAGTTGCACATATTTTTTTCGAAACCACCCCCCACGTGGTGCTAGAACAATGTTTATTCCTGAATCCACGTGGACACCCCCTCAGGCCGCCATCCATCCTGAAATATTGAAAGCATTTGCGAGTAGTGAACCTTTCCATAACACACGGATTACGTTTCAGAAGCAGAGAATCAACTGAATAATCCTAAACATTATGCCATTTTACCGAAACCAATTTTCAAAGAAACTGCTAACATGATTAACAATATTCTTGCCGATTTAGTCAAAACTAGTTATCTCAAACAGAAACAATATGACTATCTGTCTGCCAAACCTGATTGTCGCGAGAGACATTTGTACACTTTGCCTAAAATCGATAAGAATCCAACCAAGGAATGGTTTATCTCGAATAAATTCCCTAAAGGCCGCCCGATTATATCTGACTGTGGTAGTGAGTCATATGCAGTGTCAGAATACATTGATCATTTCTTACTACCTCTAAGCATGTCAACATCGCGCCTACCTTAAAGACACAACCGATTTTGTCAATAAAATAAAAAATCTTCGAGTTCCCTCTAATGCTATTTTAATTTCTATCGACGTTTCCTCTATGTATACCAATAGCGATAACACTACTGGTTTAACGGCAGGTCGTAAAGCTTTTAATAGAAACCCACATCCAAACAGACCCGACGATGCAATTCTACAGCTTTTAGAGATTTGTCTTAGTCGAAACGATTTCACATTTAATGGTAAAACATATTTACAAACTTCAGGGACAGCAATGGGCAAACGATTCGCCCCTTCGTACGCAAACCTTTTCATGGCAGAGTGGGAACGTGAGGTGTTGCCCCTCTGTCCATTTGACCCACTTTTTTACGGACGCTTTTTGGATGACATTTTTATGGTTTGGACTTATTCTATCGAACAGTTTTGGGAATTCTTTGAAATTCTCAACAACCACCATCCTTCTATCAAACTAACCGCAAACGTGAGTGACAAAAGCATTAGACTTTCTCGATACCACAGTCTTTAAGGGAGACATAGCAGAAACAAATAAACTGGATATTAAAGTGTATTTCAAAGAAACTGATACTCATCAACTCTTGCAAGAGCTCCTTTCACCCAAAACATACCTTTTCTGGTATAATTAAGTCATTAAGTTTTACGATTTCATCGAATTTGTACAAGATCTTCTGATTTCAACCAAGCCTGTACGATTGTTTTCTCAAAACTGAAAGAGCGTGGGCACTCTAAACGATTTTTACGAAACATAAAAAATTCCACCTCAGCACAGATAGCAGCTAAAAACAGACTTTATGTCGAAGTACCTCCAGGTTTAAGAAGTGCTCCATGTTTGTCCAGTAGATGCAAAACATGTCCCTTTATATCAGAAACTCATTATTTTGTAAGCAACTCTACGAATAAAAGGTACCCGATCCAGGAACATCTAACATGTGAACATTCGAATGTAATATATTTAATTTCATGCAAGAAATGCCCCAAACAATATGTAGGAGAAACTAAGAATAATTTACAAACTCACTTTAATGCTCATAGGTCAGACATCAAATTAAAGAAAGACAAGCCTGTTTCTAATCATTTCAACCTCGACGACCATTCAATAGACGATCTCGCCCTAATCCCAATTGAGCGTATAGAAATTGACTTGCCCGAAGATGAAACTACCAAATTCCGCCAATCTAGGGAAGCCCATTTGATTGAGACATTGAATACAGCAAGACCTATATGACTAAATATTCATCATAATGTAGGCATAGCACCCTTTGTTGTCCCGTTTAATACAACCAGCAATCGAGCAAGCAAGATAGTTCATGCCCACTATAAGAGCCTTCAAGAGAAATTCCCCCATGTCTATAAGCAGAAAATGATAGTTGCATATTCAAAAAATAAGAACTTAAATGATAATATTGTAACAATCAGTACATAACAGATACTATACTTCTCGCCCATCGGGCGAGTTATTTTTTCTAATTTCAGATCAGAATAAGAACAGAAGAAAACACAATATCAAGACCCTTAATCCTAATTTCTAAATAAAGTGTCTGCTCCACCCTAGGCCTGTGCATTTGGGAGAATCAAACCCTCCCTTCCCCGAAATCTAGCTAAATCAGCATCATTTGCAAGATTTCTTACCGGTTCTTTTAAAACACTTCCATCGCCAACATCGGGTATCCAACTTGAGACTGAATAGAAATCTTTAGGATATAAAACTGTTTTTCAACATTGTTTCGAATTCCCCAGGGTGTTTAATTGTTTCTATCGGATTTGAACCAGCTTCCAAAACCATCTCGCTAAATAAAGATGGAAAGAAATTGTTTTCTAACGTTGTATTAGTTTGTGGTACATGATTTTCATTGGGAGTTCCATCTTTTATTTTGAAATCGCATCTGAAATAAGCATCGGAAAAAAGCAACCAATTCGATAATGAATTAATTTCGAAGGTAATTCTACCACCATCACTCAACTGGGATTTAGAACCAACAGTGGGTGAGATGATAATATAATCCTCTTTTTTCTTGTTAAATGAGTAACGAATGGATCGTATAATTAAAAGATTGGATCAAGTATTTCATTTGCCATTTTTAAAATTTGAGTAGAAATTGTGGTCTGTTTTCCAAATGATGAAATGTAGGGTGAATAGGTTCTTTTTTAGGTGGGGGGTTGATGGAATGAAGGGTGTGTAGGAGAGTATGAGATAAAGAGATGGTGGGGTATTAATTTGGTAAAATTTTTTTTTGGTAAATCGGTATATCTAACCACCATATCTGACCGCCATATCTGACCCGCCATATATATAATCACATATACTACTCATGGAAACTTTGGATCTCGTAGATATTTGCAATATCAAAATATAGAAAAATTCACATGGAAACGTCAAAAACCGTCTATATACTGTCGGTTGGACTATTTTTTAATTTCATTTGACTAAACAACAAAATGTCAACATACTGACATAACATGTGGGTTTAAAACCGATCATTCATTGATAACCATTTTTGCTGAAAACAATAGAGGTCGTGGTATCTTTAAATTAAATACATCACTACTTTTGCACCAGAAATACGTCGATCTGATAAAAGCCACAATAAAAAATAGTCAAGAGTATCACGCTGATTGTGATCCGCAGATATTATGGGATTTTGAGGAAAAACTATTAAATATGCGACACATAAAAAGAAACCAGATTTAAAAAAACTTGAAAGAATTAGAACAAAAATTAGAAAATTTAAGTAATACCAATCCACCCTCTTCTAGAATTGACGAACAAATAGAAACTATTAAGCAAGACATTTACAATATAGATGAAAACAAACTGAAGGGTGTAATACTGAGAGCAAAATTGAAAGGATTAACATGTGGCGAAGGCAGCAGTAGTTTTTTTCGAACTTAGAAAAACAAAATTCAGCCAAAAGGGTAATCTCTTCATTGTATGATCCAGAACACAATCTAATTGAAAACAAAGACGAGATTCTGAAAGAAATTTCAAAGTATTATAACACTTTATATTCATTCATTAATAAAGAATATTCAAAGAAGTTAGAAGTATTTTTTAACGGTGCACATGACTGTCCCTTTTTAGATTTCGAAGAACGAAAGTTGTGTGAAGGTCAAATATCTGATTTAGAATGTCGAAATATTTTAAAACTTTTAAGAATGGGAAAACCCCAGGGAGTGACGGTCTGCCATGTGAATTCTATAAAATATTCTGGAATGACATCAATAAATTAGTATTAAATTCATTCTATCATGCATATATTAAAGAACAAACTAGTTTTACCCAACGCCATGGAGTAATTACACTATTACCAAAAAAGGAAAGACTGTAGGTTATTGAAGAATTAGAATCAGTCTACTTAATACCGATTACAAGTTAATGACAAAAGTAATTGCATCTCGACTTAAAAATGTACTTTTACAGTGACCAGTCTGGTTTTATACACGGTCACTTTATTGGTCAAAATATTAGAACATGTTTAGATGTGATTGAATATTTAGAAGACAAACAAGAAGAAGGAATGATCTTTCAAATTGATTACGAAAAAGCTTTCGATACACTAGAATGGAAATTTATTGATGAAACTTTTTAATTTCGGCCCCTCTATTAAAAATGGATAAAAACATTTTACAATAATATAACTAGTAGTATATTGAACAATGGCCATGCAACGTCAATGCTTAACATTCACAGTGGAGTCAGACAAGGGTGTTCACTTTCCCCATACATTTTTATAATGTGTGCAGAAATATTTGCGATAGTAATTCGTAACAACACAAATATAAAACCTCCCAAAATACCAAATTTTAACCGTAAAATTTCCCAGTTTGCCGATGTTTCTCGACGGAACGTATAAATCTTTAGAACATGTGGTTCAAGTCCTTTTAAAGAAACAAGTGGTCTAAAAGCGAATTACGAAAAATGTGAGATAGAGCCCATAGGTCTGTTACGAAGATCTGGACTGCCGTTCACCGTTCCATTAAATATAAAACGGACAACTATTTACATTCTAGGTATTCACATCCCAATTTCGAACAATTTAACACAATTACGTAAATTAAACTATGATACCCGAATAAAAAATATAAGTGCGCTATTAAAATTCTGGTATGGAAAAGTGAAAACTATCATTGGAGGAATTTCGACACTGGCATTGCCAAAACTACTATACCAAATGTCATGTCTCCCAAAGGAGATTGATAATTTATTTTTCAGTTTTATTTGGGAAAATAAACCCGCAAAAGTAAAGCGCGAACAGTTGTGCTCTCCGATAGAAAGTGGTTGCCTAAACGCACCAGATATATGGTCATATATAAAATCAATTAAAATAGCTTGGGTTAAAAGATTTCAGCAGACAGTTGCCAAATTTGGAAAAATGAAATAGTTGAAATTGTTAAACTTGATCCAGATATGAATCTATTTAATTCAAACTTAAATAAAAAAGATATTTCATCAATAAATATGAAAAATGAATTTCTGAAGGAAGTGTTACTGGCAGGGTCCGAAATAAATTATGATACAAATGTCTACAACAACAGCCCCTTTATGGTTCTATTCAAACATCAAAATAAACAATAATATGATATTTTATAAATCATGGAAAAAAAGGGTATCAACCAAGTTTATGATTTACTAGATGAAAATGGCCAATATTTGAATTTCGATAATTTTATAACCAAAACAAGTCATGGTCAGTTTTTTTTACCCCTTGTGGGTAAAGGGGACAAATTTTGGGGGGGCAACTGACCCCATCATTCCACTAGAATTTTTTGTCAGTTTTTATCCCATTACGATTCAGGTTGGTTGAGCCTCATATCACAGATATTTGAAATATGTAGCTTTTAGGGTAAAAATATTTTACCTCTTTGTCACAAAATGGAGTGATTTTGGGGGCCAGCTGACCCCCTTTTTCCACCAAGATATTTTGTCAGTTTCTGTGTTATTTATCTTCTCATGAAATGTTTCTTATACTGTATTAATTTGGCATGTGTAGCTTTTGGGGTACAATCGGCCCATGTTGGGTGACTTTTTAGGGGCAGCTGACCCCACAAACCCCCCAAAATATTTTGTCAGTAGTAACATAACCAATGTATTAACTATATAGCTTGAATGTTAAAATAAACCTTTTTCAAGGGCTTTTTGATATACCCTAGGGGCCCCACCCACCGGATCTGTACCAGCTGACGTACATTTTTTCAATGTCTGTCATAGTCCTAATTCATTGAAACCATCAAACCTTCTAGGTTTTTTGGGGTAAAATCTTGGGCCCTAAGCTCTTGGACTATAAGTTATTAAATTCTATTAAAATAAGTCATGAGTCATATATAGAAATAAGAAAATCGAAAAAGATTGATTCACCTTTAGGTAAATGGAATAATTTTCGTAACAATAGCCTAAAAGCATTAAAATTACGCATTCAAAAATTACAAATGATCCAAAAAATGAGACAATTCCAATTTAAAATTATGCATAAACTAATAGCAACCAACTCGTATTTACATAGAATCAAATATAAAAAATCGCCTAACTGTGATGCATGTGTTCAATATAATTCTATAGAACACTTCTTTTTTGAATGTAATGATTTACAACCTTTTTGGAATGACTTTCTTAGCAAATTAAACGATATCTCGACTCAAGCCATTGTATCGTTGGAAACAATTATCTTAAATTATTAAATATGCGGAAAATGTAAGGAATTAATAGATTTCATAATTTTATATGCAAAACTATATATTCATAATTGTAAATTCAAGGGACACACTCCCAACCTCTTACATTTCAATGAGAGACTTAAACAAATTGAAGAAAATGAAAAACAAATAACGATGAATGACGATGAACTTGAAAGACACATGGAGAGATGGTCTGGCCTGCAACATTTTTTGTAATTTACTATTGATGAAATTAAACAGATAAATAGTATTGTTATCTTTTCTTTAAATTATTATTCTTGTGTATATTATTATTATTATTATTTTTATTCGTACCTATATTATTACAAATCTTTGTAGTAGAAATACGTAAATATGCTATTATTAGTAATAAAAAAAATAAAAAACTAGAACTGTTCTAATAACAGTACTGATGCAGGGCGGGTTACGACATTCAGGTACATACGAAGATGGTCTATTGCAATTATATTGCTGTAAATACTTTTCTGCATCTCTAAATGTAAATATCCAAAAGTGCCTGGAGTTTAAAGTATATTGACTAGGAATAAAAGAATATTTGTCAATTAATAAAGACCAAGTTTGATGAAATCCGGATAAGAAATACAATTTTGGTAATGCGCATGCGCACATCAAAAATTTATGATTTCCATCAAATTTAGAAACGGATTATACACATACGTAGCAAGTTTGATTAAATTCGGATAAGAAATAAGAAAGTTGGTAATGCGCATGCGCACAACAAAATTTCAATATTTCCATCAAATTTAGAATTGGATTATACATATACATACCAAGTTTGGTGAAATTCGGATAAGAAATAAGAAAGTTGGTAATGCGCATGCGCACAACAAAAATTCAATATTTCCATCAATTTTAGAATTCAATTATACACATACATACTAAGTTTGGTGAAATTCGGATAAGAAATAAGACAGTTGGTAATGCGCATGCGCATAACAAAAATTCAATATTTCCATCAAATTTAGAACTGGTTTATAGACATACATGCCAAGTTTGATAAAAATCGGATAAGAAATAAGAAAGTTGGTAATGCGCATGCGCACTAAGCAAATTCGATTATTCCATGAAATTTAGAATTTGATTATTCACATACATTCCAAGTTTGATGAAAATCGGATAAGAAATAAGAAAGTTGGTAAATTAAGTGGAGGTATCCCTTTAATGTGCTTCCGTAAGCTTAACTTACAGTATAACACGGTTCAATCCACCCTAGAGCTTATTTATATACCTCAACTGGACTCAAAACATTTTAAAGGAATATAAAAGGGAGGGTGTCTTTAAAATTACTTAAACTTTGATTTCTATTGGGGTTGACAGCCAGGTTAATCTAATTAGTCGATTTATCTAATAATAACCCCATGTTAAGTGAATGGGGTTTCGAATTTGCGTGTAAGGCATGCATGTTATATATCAATGGAAAGCGCAGGAGCTCAGCATTTTGAATCCGGCAGAATTATTTCTCTGCCTATATTAGGGCACATGTGAGGGCGCTTTAAAGATGCAGAATCAACTTTCAGTGACACCCATAAAAACGAAACCACGTGTCGGACACAAAAAATATTAGCATCATGTAAAAGCTGAAGTCAATAGTAAACATTAATGTAAATATCAACGTCATTCGAGGCCAAGTTCTTTTGATAGACGCATTTAAAGATTTAAGGAAATTGCAACATTTCCTTTAATGTGACTCTGACATCATCAAATACCACATGAATTGAAACCATTTATTAAGTGCATTAATAATCTGAAAGTGGTATGGCGCTAAATCAATTAGGGTTTGAGATACAGCACTGCAAAAATGCCATTTTGACCATATTTAGACCCCTATAAAATCAGAAGTTGTTGTTTGACCCAAAGGTCAAAAAGTCATGAGAAGGTCAAGGACAGCCTTTATCACCATAGTCAATATAAAGGTCATCAAAGGTCAAGGTCATGAGTTGTAAGCCTTCAAACTTTGAAAAAAAACCTCAGGTCGTACAAAAAAGGCAAAACCGAAAATCAAAATTATGCTTCCCATTTTTTGTAGACAGACATCAAACGTATCGTATGACACAAAAGTTATGCAAATCGGATGATAAATGGCCTCTGAATAGCAATTTCTGGAAAATGAGGCAAACCAAAATGGCGGCCTACATGTTACTTCCGGTGCGATTTTTTTTATTTAAATAAGTTTGTATTTAGGCTAATATATATAATGCATATTTCATTTTTGACATAACTCAATTTCACCGGAAGTGATACCACCGGAAGTACTAACATCGAAACCGGAATTGATAAAAAATTTTTGAATGTGTGCTTTTATTCCACTATGCTGGCAGTCTACACCATATGAGTTTCAAGTCAATCCACCAAACTACAACCAAAATAGTATTTTCTGATTAATTACGGAAAAAAAAGTATTGAACGAATTTTCTAAAATCGAAAATTTTCAACTGCTATCATTTGTCCTTTGTTACAAGAAATACGATGCAGAAAACCCGATCAAAATCGGTTGATAAACACGCTCTCTAGAGTCCATTTTCCGTTTGTTGCAATTTTGCGTAATGTTGCTCAGAAAATTTTCGTTTTACATTTAAGCTGGGATTAGCCACGAGTTACGAAACGCCACGAAGCCCGTTTTCCCGTACCTGTTGCCGTTTCCAAGAAAACCGGCCTGCCGTGGACGAAAAAAAAAAAAAAAAAAAATCAATACGAAAACAAAGCAGGGCGTTCGCTTCCGACTTGGTCAAAGGAGGTCTTTGGTAGCTGATCACGGTTGTTGAAGCCTACATGAAGAATAACGGTAGTAGGTTTGGGATCATGGTCTTATGATTTCAGGATTGACTGTATGTGATGGATTTGGGCACCGGGGTGTCTGAACTGGTTTTGGTAATTCGATTCAGGTTAGATGATCCAATAATTAAGATAGGTTTCTTTAGAGCAGGTAGCTTCCATAATGATTTGTCCTTGGTTTGGTGATAATAAGGTTTGGTAGCGGATATAATGATTGTCGACGGGGTGATTGGTACTGGTTTGGTAGTAGGGAACGTACTGGGATCTGGTTCGAGGGGGAAGGTCTGGAGACATGTCTCGACTTGGATGGAGACCTAGGGGTGGTTTGCTGGTCCAAAAGTATTCTAAAGTCTCGGAGAAATTAACAACGGGAATACCACTACAGAAGTTGATTAGATGAGATTATATGATGAGATTATGCATTGAAATTTCATATTATGATAAATGAATCTGTAGTGGTAGTATATTAATCAATCACACAAGGAAGTAAATACGCTATTGTTGACTATATAGGTCATAACACAAAACACTCGTAAATCATCGAAAAAAAACACAATTTAAAAAGACATATCCTCTATCCAAAATCTTAAAAACTTAATCCTTTAACCCCCTCATTAGATAGAATAATTAACGAAAAATAACAGAGCATATTAAACACTTCCTTTACCTGCAAATTATTTCCTTGCATGATTAACATCCGGTTTATAGCCTCGTTTTCACAGAGTTCTTTTTCTAGAAACTTCTTGTTTGAAAAAACAGACCACAATTTCTTCGTTAAATTAACTCATTTAAAAGTAGGATGAGTTTAATTTTAAAACACGAACAACACAAATTCGAAGATTATTCAGTCGAAGGTATCATCAATATTTTCTCTAGGTAAACAAATAATTCCAAAAATACCTAGCTTTGTTTCAAACAACAAATCACTTATTTCATCCGCAGCTACAGCTATAGGATCTCACGCTGTGAAACAATCTGACGAGTTGAAAGAATTACAGCTAATAAGAGAACTGCGAAACAGGAGATTAGAAGAAAGGAAAGGAAAAGGTTTTTAAGTTATAGGATAAAAATGATAGTCACTCACGCTCCAAAAACCTATTTCGGTTCAGATATTCAAAAGTCATTGGGCTCTCTCCCTGGTTTTCCATGGGCAAAATATCCCAGAGAAAAACATCTCCCGGTCATAATTAAACTGGTCCAGGTACTAGGTTAGATCTGCGATTAGATGAAAACGATAAACCCAAACCGGGTGAAGAACCAGTCAATAGAGTTGATGCCGCTGCAATCATAAAACTGTTAAAAGCAAAGATGAAATTCATAAAGAATTTAGAAAAACTAAAAACTTTTTAAAAGTTAAAGTATTTGAAAAAAGATGAAATATGGTCAGCTGATTAAATTAATATGAAGTCGAAAGAGGATATAAATATTGCTTAACAGTTATATATCTATATACAAGGTATGCTTGGGTTATTCCTTTAAAAAACAAAACAGGATTATCAATCAAACATGCTTTTGAAACGATTATGAAACATAGAAAACCCCAAAAGTTATGGGTAGATAAAGGAAGCGAATTTTATAATAAAAATATTAAATCAATTTGAAATTTACAGTACTCATAAGGGAGGAAAAAGCTGTTGTAGTAGAAAGATTTAACAGGACGCTTAAATCAAAACTTTTAAATAAATTAACAGAACTAAAGTCTCAAAAATGGTTAAAGATTTTACCCACTGTAGTATCGGAATATAATAATAAAATTCATTCTTCCATCGGTGTTTCTCCAATGGAAGCTAGTCAAAATCCAGATATTATAAAGTTTTCTTCTGTCCTTAATAATTTTGGAAATGAAATAAATAATTTAAATATTAAACCCAAATTTAAAGTTGGAGATCGCGTTCGTATTTTCAAATATAAAAGTAAATTTGAAAAAGGTTCCGTTGGATACTGCACAAACGAAATATTCATCGTTGATAAAGTAAACACCACATCACCTCCAACATATGAATTAATCGATCAAGACAAAGAACAAATCATAGGTAGGTTTTATCAAAACGAACTTCAAAAAACTGACTGTTAAAAATGAATATCTTTCTCGATAAATATGGAACTGATACAACCACAAACTTTCAACTTATGAGGAGATGGGCGAATGAGTTAAATAGTTCACCGTTTTATTATTGTATGAGAGATGAAATAAATACTCTCAAGAATAAGAAAGGTAAATTTTATGCTATAACAAATATACATACTTCCAATCAAAAAGGAGTTCATCATTCTGCTTTGTACAAAGACTGTTCACAAGAAATATTTACGGGATTAAATAAATTCAATTGAAGTAAATAAAAACCATTTAGAAGATAAAATAAGTAATGTGAAAAGATTCTTCAAACGTCAACTAAATAATACAATTTTTATTAATGATACTAAACGACAGCAAGAGGTAGCAGGTTTAATAAGTTTTATTCAAAAACAATTGGTCAACGTAGTGAACAAAACTGAGTTACAAAATTTTAATTTCATTAATATCTAAATTAGATGATAAGATTGCAAAACAAAAATTAGACATTCAACAATTAATAGATAACATTCCAGATGAAAATGTGGATACGTTTCAACAGGAATTAAATGTTCTTGAAACTAAACTTAACTCTGAAATACAAAAAGAACTAACAAATATTAAACAACAAATACAAAAACATAGATGATAGCGAAATCAAAACCTATATTCAACAACAAATACAGAACATTGATGATAGCGAAATCAAAACCTATATTCAACAACAAATACAAAATATTGATGATAGTGTTATTCAACAACAGATAACCACTATCAATAATGAAGTTTTAAAACAGGAAAAAAATATAGCCGCAATAGAAAAGAATCTCAAAGAAGAACATAAATCATATTATTTTAATCTTCCTTTTAGAAATTTTACTAAAAATATGATTCTATTACTGATGATATTGATAAATCAAAAGATTATGAATGGAAAAAATATGGATTTACAGCAAATATAAGAGTATTTTCTGTTAGAGATGGTATTATTAATCCCCAGGTATTTTGATAGTGATTTTATTCATACAACACTTTTTACTTTCCGAGGAAAACTTCTAATTGAAATCATTTTTCCTTTGCAGGTAAAATTTGATTCAATATTCTTCAGACAATACTCACGATATTCATCTAATCAATTTAAAGCTCGTAAAGTTCTTCAGTTTATCAATGGTACAAAAAATGTAGAAACTAAAGAAATAGACGAAAACAGCAAGCTTAATTACATATATAGATAAGTTTAGAATGTTAATCATACCAGATAAAGAAAATAAACATAAAGACCTTCTTGGATTGAGTAATTTTGATATGATATTGGAGACGGAAACTCCACCATCAATGAATATTATTTGTAATCCAGAACCACATCAACATCGCGCCTACCTTAAAGACACAACCGATTTTGTCAATAAAATAAAAAATCTTCGAGTTCCCTCTAATGCTATATTAATTTCTATCTATGTATACTAATATCGATAACACTACTGCTCTAACGGCAGTTCGTAAAGCTTTTAATAGAAACCCAGATCCAAACAGACCCGACAATTCTACAGCTTTTAGAGATTTGTCTTAGTCGAAACGATTTCACATTTAATGGTAAAACATATTTACAAACTTCAGGGACAGCAATGAGCAAACGATTCGCCCCTTCGTACGCAAACCTTTTCATGGCAGAGTGGGAACGTGAGGTGTTGCCCCTCTGTCCATTTTGACCCACTTTTTTACGGACGCTTTTCGGATGACATTTTTATGGTTTGGACTTATTCTATCGAACAGTTTTGGGAATTCTAAGAAACTGATACTCATCAACTCTTGCACAAGAGCTCCTTTCACCCAAAACATACCTTTTCTGGTATAATTAAGTCACAAGTTTTACGATTTCATCGAAGATCTTCTGATTTCAACCAAGCCTGCACGATTGTTTTCTCTAAACTGAAAGAGCGTGGGTACTCTAAACGATTTTTACGAAACATAAAAAATTCCACCTTAGCACAGATAGCAGCTAAAAACAGACTTTATGCCGAAGTACCTCCAGGTTTAAGAAGTGCTCCATGTTTGTCCAGTAGATGCAAAACATGTCCCTTTATACCAGAAACTCATTATTTTGTAAGCAACTCTACGAATAAAAGGTACCCGATCCAGGAACATCTAACATGTGAACATTCGAATGTAATATATTTAATTTCATGCAAGAAATGCCCCAAACCAATATGTAGGAGAAACTAAGAATAATTTACGAACTCGCTTTAATGCTCATAGGTCAGACATCAAATTAAAGAAAGACAAGCCTATTTCTAATCATTTCAACCTCGACGACCATACAACAGACGATCTCACCCTAATCCCAATTGAGCGTATAGAAATTGACTTGCCCGAAGATGAAACTACCAAATTCCGTCAATCTAGGGAAGCCCATTGGATTGAGACATTGAATACAGCAAGACCTATAGGACTAAATATTCATCATAATGTAGGCATAGCACCCTTTGCTGTCCCGTTTAATACAACCAGCAATCGAGCAAGCAAGATAGTTCTCATTCATTTTGTCCGTTTCAAATGATTTCCTGTTGGCAGAATTTCTCCCCCCTTTGGATTGTCTGATGAAATATCTTATATACGGATGAGTGTGTGAATTAACCTTTTCAATGTTTTCTTTTTCTGTGTGTTTTGGAACCATTCTAGTAGTTTCATACCATTCTTCTTCAACCATTTCTTTATCGTAATGATACAAATAAGACCAACCCTTTAAAGATAGTGCCGGAGCTGTTAGATTATTTGAAACGTTTTGGAAGACAGTTTCTATCATTGCTTGATTGTATTTTATCAAACAGACAGAGAGTATCTTTTTTAGCATATGGCTCCCATTCATGTCCCAAAGGTTCCCAGTTGTCCTTGGTGTATTTAGCAATGTTTACATTCATTATTTTTCCTAAATTCATACGTAGATTAGATGAATTACCCCATGCCGCCAAACTAGTGATGTTGAAATGAACAAGTGAGACATATGTTTTGTAAATAGTTATTTTTATCAGATATTTTTATCTCTCCTTTCTCTCTTTTCCACTTTTTCTGCAATCTTTCTTCTGTATATGGATTAGACAAAGGAAGAGATAGAATTTTTTTTATCTGTTATCAGTGGACATTGTGTTAGTTTTTTGACGCTTTTAAGTGCAATCCAGTTTTCAAAACCACTGCCGTTATGGGAAATTAAGGTTAGTCTTTTTTGATCTACTGTACCTAAACGTCGCAACATCTGATCGAAACAATCTGTTCCTACAAATATTTCTACTATATTAGTCATTAGTTTATTGTAAAATTCTTCTGGGAATACTCTTTTAGTTAGTTCTAGTTTTTTCCAAATTGACTAAAGTACAGCAATAAGGAATGGCTTTATTAGCCCCCTCTTCACAATATGTTCCACAATCCCAAGCGAATAAAGTATCATCATGGGGTTGTGAAATCACGTTTAGTTTTAACTGAGCAAAACATGATACTACATTATCATCTCTGCAGGTTCTCCATACATTTTCATTACAGTTTTCTTCTATTTCTTTAATACCCAAAGCTTTATTATTTCTTCTTATGAGACAGAAATGTTCTTTGTGTAAGAAATAAAAACAATCTAAGTCCCTGTTTACATATCTTGGTTGAAAATAACTGTCTTTAGGCTTACAGATTTGAAAGTTTGTATTAAATTGATCGTTGAATAGCTTAATTCTTCCAACTGTCATCACTCCTTTTCTTTTTGCTTTTTGAAATCTGTTGATAATTTTTTCAAATTCTTTTAAGTCTTTAAATTCTTTTGTTAAGTCTTTATTCATGAAGTGATTTACACACTTTATAAAACAATATCCATCGCCTGGTATGTAGCAATTTTCGCCTTTGTATTCATTTATCTTTTTAAGTAGATTTCCACCTCTGCCAGTTTTAGATCTTTTTACTATTCTAAAATAATTTTTGCGGAAAATAACCTCTCCTGTAAAATACCAATCAGAAGCGTTAGATTTATCATGCATCTTTAAATAAATAATCTGGAGAGTTTGAGCATTGAATCCAGATAATGTCATGTCTTGTTTAGACTCCCCCTCTTTATATATTCGACCATTTATTTGAATTTGACCTTTAATTTTAAAATCATTAAATAGAATAGTTATTCTCTTGATTAATTCTGAACAAAGCATATTTGTGGTTGATATTTTTGTTTCATTTTCCTCGTGTTTAAACACCTCAGCCATATTATAAACTATATATTTAAAGGATTCTTCATCTTCTTTGTCAAATTTACGCGAAAATAAATTAGGTATTGAATAGAATATCGATGAAAAAAATCTTTTCGACAGCCCTTGTCTAAATTTCCAATTTTATCCATTCTTTTTTTTAAGTTTTTATTTTTAATTATTTATTTTCTTATATTTACAGATGATATTTATACATCAAATTTATCTAAAATTTAATTGAATTCTTCTAATTCTTCAATGGTTATGTTCTTATCTTATCTAAATAAAATAATTTATTAAGATATTAATTTAAAATTTCTGTTTTCTTTTTATAATGAGATTTCTGTTTTGATGTAAATCCTAAAGTAATCAATCCACAAGATAAAGTTTGAACGACAGTGAACGCGGCTAGTATAGTTGGGACAATTATTGGAAGCATTAATCCACCAATTACAGCTGTTGCCACTGTTATCCCTACTGTTAGATTTCGGGGAAGGGAGGGTTTGATTCTCCCAAATGTACAGGCCTAGGGTGGAGCAGACACTTTATTTAGAAATTAGGATTAAGGGTCTTGATATTGGGTTTTCTTCTGTTCTTATTCTGATCTGAAATTAGAACAAATAACTCGCCCGATGGGCGAGATGTATAATATCTGTTATGTACTGATTGTTTTTAGTTTACTATGGACAATATTATCATTTAAGTTCTTATTTTTTGAATATGCAACTATCATTTTCTGCTTATAGACATGGGGGAATTTCTCTTGAAGGCTCTTATAGTGGGCATGAACTATCTTGCTTGCTCGATTGCTGGTTGTATTAAACGGGACAACAAAGGGTGCTATGCCTACATTATGATGAATATTTAGTCCTATAGGTCTTGCTGTATTCAATGTCTCAATCCAATGGGCTTCCCTAGATTGACGGAATTTGGTAGTTTCATCTTCGGGCAAGTCAATTTCTATACGCTCAATTGGGATTAGAGTGAGATCGTCTATTGAATGGTCGTCGAGGTTGAAATGATTAGAAAGAGGCTTGTCTTTCTTTAATTTGATGTCTGACCTATGAGCATTAAAGCGAGTTCGTAAATTATTCTTAGTTTCTCATACATATTGTTTGGGGCATTTCTTGCATGAAATCAAATATATTACATTCGAATGTTCACATGTTAGATGTTCCTGGATCGGGTACCTTTTATTCGTAGAGTTGCTTACAAAATAATGAGTTTCTGATATAAAGGGACATGTTTTGCATCTACTGGACAAACATGGAGCACTTCTTAAACCTGGAGGTACTTCGGCATAAAGTCTGTTTTAAGCTGCTATCTGTGCTAAGGTGGAATTTTTTATGTTTCGTAAAAATCGTTCAGAGTACCCACGCTCTTTCAGTTTTGAGAAAACAATCGTACCGGCTTGTTTGAAATCAGAAGATCTTGTAAAATTCGATGAAATCGTAAAACTTGTGACTTAATTATACCAGAAAGGGTATATTTTGGGTGAAAGGAGCTCATATGCAAGAGTTGATGAGTATCAGTTTCTTTGAAATACACTTTAATATCCAGTTAATTTGTTTCTGCTATGGAATCTCCCTCAAAGACTGTGGTATCGAGAAAGTCTATGCTTTTGTCACTCACGTTTGTGGTTAGTTTGATAGAAGGATGGTGGTTGTTGAGAATTTCAAAGAATTCCCAAAACTGTTCGATAGAATAAGTCCAAATCATAAAAATGTCATCCGAAAAGCGTCCGTAAAAAAGTGGGTCAAATGGACAGAGGGGCAACACCTCACGTTCCCACTCTGTCATGAAAAGGCTTGCGTACGATGGGGCGAAATATGTTTTACCATTAAATGTGAAATCGTTTCGACTAAGACAAATCTCTAAAAGCTGTAGAATTGTCGGGTCTGTTTGGATCTGGGTTTCTATTAAAAGCTTTACGAACTGCCGTTAGACCAGTAGTGTTATCGATATTAGTATACATAGATAGAAATTAATATAGCATTAGAGGGAGCTCGAAGATTTTTTATTTTATTGACAAAATCGATTGTGTCTTTAAGGTAGGCGCGATGTTGACATGCTAGAGGTAGTAAGAAATGATCAATGTATTCTGACACTGCATATGACTCACTACCACAGTCAGATATAATCGGGCTTAATGTTTTGAAAATAGAATCAATTCTACTCCATGTTTTCCTGCATTTGTTGAAGTGTTTTAGTTTTTCTTTTAGTTCATTTTCTTTTTCTATCATATAGCTTTGTCTACTGCTTTCGAACAGTTCCATTTTTAGGTAATTAAATTAAATGAACTTCTGATAAACCAAAAGCTGGATAATTTATGTTTTTGTCCATGGTAAAAACTTTTACAGTTACTAACGATATTTTTTCTTTCGAATCATTAATCTTGTTTAGATGAACTGAAAAGTTTGGTTTTTCAATAGAGATAGGTATATTAACATAAATAACATTTACCTCTTCATCTATTATTGTTGGTATTAAAAATTTATATTTTTTTTTACTTTACTGAATATCAATTGAGCAAAATATATCATTATTAACAAAATATAGTTTTACGTATTCAAAGTCTGATGTTCGTAAAAACTCATAACTGAATAGCCTTCCTCCTTCTTTTTGTGGTTCTGGATTACAAATAATATTCATTGATGGTGGAGTTTCCGTCTCCAATATCATATCAAAATTACTCAATCCAAGAAGATCTTTATGTTTATTTTCTTTATCTGGTATGATTAACATTCTAAACTTATCTATATATGTAATTAGGCTTGCTGTTTTCGTCTATTTCTTTAGTTTCTACATTTTTTTGTACCATTGATAAACTGAAGAACTTTACGAGCTTTAAATTGATTAGATGAATATCGTGAGTATTGTCTGAAGAATATTGAATCAAATTTTACCTGCAAAGGAAAAATGATTTCAATTAGAAGTTTTCGTCGGAAAGTAAAAAGTGTCGTATGAATAAAACCACTATCAAAAATACCTGGGGATTAATAATACCATCTCTAACAGAAAATACTCTTATATTTGCTGTAAATCCATATTTTTTCAATTCATAATCTTTTGATTTATCAATATCATCAGTAATAGAAGCATCTTTTAGTTAAATTTCTAAAAGGAAGATTAAAATAATATGATTTATGTTCTTCTTTGAGATTCTTTTCTATTGCGGCTATATTTTTTTCCTGTTTTAAAACTTCATTATTAATAGTGGTTATCTGTTGCTGAATAACACTATCATCAATATTTTGTACTTGTTGTTGAATATAGGTTTTGATTTCGCTATAATCAATGTCCTGTATTTGTTGTTGAATATAGGTTTTGATTTCGCTATCATCTATGTTTTTGTATTTGTTGTTTAATATTTGTTAGTTCTTTTTGTATTTCAGAGTTAAGTTTAGTTTCAAGAGCATTTAAGTCCTGTTGAAACGTATCTTCATTTTCATCTGGAATGTTATCTATTAATTGTTGAATGTCTAATTTTCGTTTTGCAATCTTATCATTGTTGTGGCCAAAATAGTATTATCCAATATCCCTCTAGTGCCCAAATGGTAAATTAGCATATATGCAAATCATTACGTCATCCCATCTTCCACGCTTCCTTGGCAGGAAGTCAGCCATCTTTTTTATCTAGAGAAAGGAGGTACTTGGAGCCAGCAGAGGAAGACCAACGTTACTTTTATTTTATCTGTGTTCTGTATTTTGTTCAGATAGGAAGGTCTATAATTACGGTTAGAATTCATATTTTAATTATTCTTTATATATGTATGTCAATATCTTGTAATATTAGGTTTCTTGTTCGCCTTGGGTTTTTCATGGCACATGCTTTTTCGACTATTTTAGATGCACACAAGATTTCCTTCCCATATTATTGTGTCATTTGCTTAATGTTTGAGAATTCTGTACATGCAGTTGTATTCTAGTGCTAGGACTATTCTTTGTGACACAATTTGGCCTGTAACTTGTATTTTTTCGTGTTGTAAGGGAAACCGCCTTTTCCTGCATTCCAGAAGGTCACGTGACCACTTTTACCGCCTTTGATCTTTACTATTTGAGAAGGAGCACGGATTCCATTTCTTTTGCCAGTCAATTATGAATAACTATAACTATTTTTGTAAACTTTATTTGTAGTTAATCGTCCTGTACATGTTACATATCATCATTGTTGTCTACGTTCAGCATATGGTCTAGTTTTAATGAAACTATTAAATAAAGATTGTTAGTTAAAATATATATGGTGTTTTGGTAACCAAGTTGCTGTTTGCCAGGATGAATTAACGACCACCCACCCCTATCTCAACGCACTGCAGATACATTGTTATTAACGTAATTAAGAAGTTTAACTGGTGATTGGTAACTGGTTTTTAAATATTACCTTAGACTTTAAAGAAGAAATAAGAACTGAAATTAGTTTTTGAAGCTAAATATTATATTTTATATACAAAAACTTGTAAAATTGTATGCATGTTAACTCTGTTTATCTTTTTAAGGTGTATTATCTGTTCATTGTCCATTATTATGAATCAATCAAGTGATTTACAGTTATGGCTTTCAGCTGCTGACTCCAATGTACGCTCAGGTAACATAAGTTTAGAAACAGGTAGTTTCAGTTATGGGACACCGAATGTTCATAACGATATCACTCCAGATGATAGTATATCTCAAATTGGGGGGTCTGTTAGGTCACATGCTCAAAGTAGAAATAGTAGGCGTTCTAGAACTAGCTCCATCCAACAACAAAGGATTATTGAAGAACAGAGACGATTAGAATTAACTGAAAGAGTTGCTCACCTAAAACAGAAACAAGATTTGGATATGAAATTGTTGGAAATACAGTTGAAAAAGGAAGAATTACAACTAAAAACTGATATGGCTGTAGCAAATGTCAGAAGCAATGTGATATAGAACAAGATATGATCAGTAGAACTGGCAGTAGAAGAAATTATGTTTCGGGGAAGGGAGGGTTTGATTCTCCCAAATGTACAGGCCTAGGGTGGAGCAGACACTTTATT